AAAAAGAAAAAAAAAAAAAGACACGGGGATAAAACTGATACAAGCATCTGTAACAAGCTAATTGGACCCTTGTGGGCAACACAGCAGATACAAAATTAAAACAAACAAAACATCTCATTGTACAATTGTACTTCTAGGACTGCTATCACAAAGGTATCCGTCTGGATTTTTATTTTAGTTTTGTTTTGTTTAAAAGGACCTAATTATGGCCAGAGCTGAAGTATCACAAGTCTGTTTTCATCTATAAAGAAAGGATATTTTGCCTCTGAACCTGAGAAATTGTTAGAAGTTGGTAATTAGTATGACTTGTTAATAGAGTTTGGCTGTGATTAAGCTGTGATTGAGTGTGAGTTTGGTTCTTGTCAATGCGAATGCCTGTAAGGTTGAGAGATGTTTAATGAGACACCTGTTGTCAGCAGCACCCGGTGGGCTTTGTTGCGCCTGACTGGAATTTGTACCGCGGAGCAGAAGCGGCAGCACCGAAATGCAGCAGCAGCAGCAGGCACAGCCCCGGCTGGAGAATCGCTGCCAACAGCAAAAGGTCCAAGAGAAACAGAGGGTTGGACCCACAGGAAAGGTCCATCCAGCTGCAAGGGCTGTCTTGTGGTGGGACCAGCTTGCACCCTTCAACACAGCCAGAGCCTGCACTGGAAAGCTCCAGGGATGCTCCATGTCCCACAGGTCACAGTGTTTGGGGTGATCCATCATCCAAACTCTGGCCAGGCAGTTACAGCTGGCTTGAGCAGCACAACAGGCAACGACATTGACATATTCACTTAGTCAGAAGGGGATGGTGGCTGTGCTGCTGTGTGATGGTGGATCTTTGGGAGATGGCAAGAGGGGGATGCAGCCCTGCATGCTTAAGCCMCTCTTAAATCCCCCAAAAATATCCAGTCCTTGGATAGCTGGCAATGGTGGGGCTCTTTAAAGTGTGACATTGATGGAGAAAGGTTCTGCACAGTGCAGCCCTGGTTCATCACTTCCCTTGTACATTTTCCTCATGGGAAAATGTCCCACTGMGCGACTCAGTACCTTTTGGCCTTTGGACAGAGAAAGTTTCATAAATGATATTTTTGTCTCAAAAATCAGCATAAGTTTCCACATGACTCCATATAACCACTCCCCACACCAAAACCCAGGCCTAACGATGAATTTGTGCACTTCAACTATGTATGTAACATGTTATTTCCCCCAAATGTCTATGAAACATTTTCAAGTGGCTGCTACTTAAAACATAGCCAGGTTTTGCATARAAAAGCGAAAGAAGCTGGAAGCAATCACAATGGCCACTGTCACAGTCTCAATGTGAAATGCCTGAGCTGGGAACAAGAGCAGAAACATTTCAGCTCATGGAATGTGCCTCGGGAAGGAGCCATTGGCTTTGTGATGGATCGGAGCAGCCACTGGATGGCATTGCTCTACACGAATGGATCTGTGAGCACAGCACTCGGCGCAGGCTGCTGTGCCAAGGAGATTAATTCAGCCCCGAGAGGTTCAGGCCACCGTGACCTTAACCAATTCTTTAAATAACATTCCGAGTTCTCTTGGCTGCCTGGCTGGGAGCTGCGGGCACAGAGTTTGGTCAGAGTGAACAAAGCCACATCCCGAAGCAAACCTATTACTAAGCTGAGTGCATTCGTCTTTCATTTAACGTGAGATCAAATATTCAGCCAGRTTTTGATGGGTTTCCTTCTCATGAGATGGGAAAAAGAATAGTTTGTAATTTCTGGCCTTATCAAAGCATTGCAGGGCAGGCACAGCCGACCAGTGAGCGATGGCTTGACTGAAGCCCGGATCTGCGGACGTGCTGGCCAGCCAGCTCARCTCCTGGGGTCACCGGCTGGCAGGCAGCTAAGGGGGTGAGCTGAGCAGGTTATTCCTGTGTAGTGAAAGGAAAAAAAAAACAAATAAAAAGGMAAAACAATTGGTTGTCTGGCACATTCTGCTTTGTTGCTGTGGGCTCCAGAGCATCAAGCCCAGGTTATTATCCCACGTGTGGTGGCCGCTCCATGTGACAGCAGCTTCTCAGCACGTGTTAATACAACTTTGCTTTCTGCTACATCACTTATTGACAAGGAATCAGCTGGTGACCAAATAACCTGATGTTCATATTTTCCCTGGGGCGCTGTGTTTCTTTCATTACTGACACTCTGTATTGGCCTCATTCTTTCAGCAACTACATATGGTCAAGCCAACCTGAGAATGTCAGTTCATGCCCAAAAGAAATCTGCTGATGGCTTTGGAGGTGCAGCAGGATATTTGGAACTGCAGCCTCACAAAAGGTGCATCTGAAGGGGGATACACTATTTGTGAGGGTCAATTGACAGTCATAGCCAGCAGATGTATCTTCAGTTAGGACCTAACATCAGGTGAGTGCTTGTACATGGGTTGGGAGGTACAGCTGTTCTGGGCACAGACTTCCTATTAGCATAGGTTTTGACCAGTCTAATAAATTTAATGATCATGGTCAATTAGATAACTCCAGTTACACTGGGATTAAAATTAGGTCCTCAATTCAAGTCCTGCAAATGCCCCTTCACTCCCAGTTCTCAGTTCTGTACTCAAATCCCTGCCCAGCTGCCTTTTTAAGTACTGGAGAAGTAGGATGAAAATAAATTCCATATAAAAGAAATGCTACATTTGTTTTATGACCCCATTTGTCTCCTTTTTCTGGACTTACCTCCTAACCCAAACAAACAACAAGAGAATTGTATCCACCTTGATGTGATGAGCAGTCCATTGGTAAATGCTTTCTGCTGTCAGAACTGTTCAGGCTTGGTGGGAAATAAAGGTTTCATCAGCAGTGGGCTGCTCAGATCTTTCTTTTGGTGACCTCAGCTCTGCTACAGTGGCTGTAAGAGGAGACCAGAACAACTGGTGGTGATTACTTGTTTCATGTCTACTATTAGGAGCCACTGTTCGAGGTCTCTTGTGTCACCCATGGGAAGACCTCTATGAAGTGACACCAGTGGGCTCACTGGTTTCAATCTCTTTCCATTGACTTTAGAGGAAATGGCAATTTCTTCCCAACTTCAGCACTTCGGGCCTGTGTTTGAACACAGGCAGGGTAAATCTGAATATCTTCATTTATTTAATAGAAGTGTAAAGACTAGAAAGAAGGGTGTTTCCTATTGTTCCTACACTGCACAGCAGGCTGTGCTTGGAAAAGATCCCCTTGGACCCAGAATTCAGGGGATGGCAGAAATCCCAGCTAGGATAYCCACTGCTGCACTGGCTGTTCTAAGGCAGATCTGTTTTAAGGCAATCACCTCAACAYAAAAATTTGCCCTGGATGTTTCTAGAGTCAGGACAACACTCCTGACCTCCAAAAAATCAAGGGGACCTTGGAAACTGCAGGGCAGTCCAGAAYACTGGTGGGCAAAGGGAATTCAGAAAAAAATAAAATGCTAGACTAATTCCAAC